GGGCTGTCTGATCTTTGGCTGAAGGGTGAACCTCAGGAATGACTTCAGTATTGAGCTATAAGGGTGTCCGGGGAGGACATGCATTTTTTTGTTTCACAGCTCTGGAGACTAGAAGTCAGAATTTGGGGCATGGCTGTAGGGGAGGGTCCTTTCTGGTCGCTGGCCCCAGCATGCCTCAGCTCCTTGGCTTGTAGACGGTCCTCAGATGGCATCTGTTCCCCCCTCCGCGCGTGTCTCTGTATCTACTCTGCTCGTTTGATCACTGGGAAGGAACTGGATTTCGGACCCGCCCTGCACTCCCAGGACCTTCAGAACATCACAGAGGAAAACCCTGTTTACAAACAGTCTCCTTCATGGGCACGCACATCAGGGCTTCCAGACATGTTTTTTTCAATGGCAGGGGTGGGGTGGGGGGTGGGGGGACATAGTTCAACCCGTAACAGCAGGTCCACTGGAACTGAGCCCAGGGCACTGGCAGGGGATCTCCAAGGAACCCAGGAGGGGACCGAGGCCGCCCCTGCCCCGATAATGCAATGGTTGGTTTCCGGGTGTCTTGGTCACCTGGTATTGCTCTAACAGAAATCCCACAAGTGGCTGGCTTCAACAAACGGAGGTTTACTCTCTCACAGTCTAGGAGGCTACAAGTCCAAACTCAGGGTGTCAGCTCCAGGGGAAGGCTTTCTCCCTCTGTTGGTTCGGGGGAAGGTCCTTGTCATCAATCTTCCCCTGGTCTAGGAGCTTCTCAGCACAGGGACCCTGGATCCAAGGGACGTGCTCCACTCCTGGCACTGCTTTCTTGGTGGTGTGAGGTCCCCATGTCTCTCTGCGGGCTTCTCTCTTTTATATATCGAAAGAGATTGATTTAAAACACAATCTTATCTTGTAGATTGAGTCCCGCCTCATTAACAGAACTGTCTCTAATCCTGACTCATTAACATCATAGAGGTAGGATTTACAACACACAGGAAAATCACATCAGATGGCAGAATGGTGGACAATCACGCAATACTGGGAATCATGGCCGAGCCAAGTTAACACACATTATTTTTGGGGGACACAGTTCTTTCTGGGCTGGTGAGAACGTTCTGGTGAAGGCAATGTTGCCCAACATGCTGAGTCTGCTAAAGATCATCGGGTTTCGTACACTTTAAACGGGTTAATGTCGTGCTAGATGAGTTATAGCAACGAAGCTGTTAAGAACAAAAAAAACCATCACCAAAACATGGCATTTAAATGGGTCGGGATCTCAGAGGTTTTCTGATCTGGCTTTTCTTTTCCAATTTTAGAGACAGCAAGGAAAAAAAAAAAAGATAATAAGTGGAAAGTATGACTGGTTGGCAGGAAAAGGGAAATCGGTACAACCTGTCCCCACCCTCAGCCGGCCTTAATTTTTTTTTTTTTTTTTTAATTATTGTGATAAAATCCACATAACATAAAATGTTTCATTGTAACCTCTTTAAAGTATACAATTCAGTGGCATTGAGCACATCGGCCACCATCCCCTGAAGCTGGTTCCAGAACGTTTTCGTCACCCCGAAAGGAGACCCCGTACCCATTCGCAGTCACCCCCACCTTGTTTTTCAGCCGTTCCAGTTTCTTTGTGTTGTCTCAGTAAAAAGCAAAAACACAGTCTCAGGCTCTCTGCACACTTCCTCTTATGGTTTTTAGCAAGTCAGAAGCCCAGACAGAAATAGACTTTTCTAGCACTTGAGCTCTTACTTGAGGGCCTGGTTTGGAATACTTCGGACAAGACTGGTGGGGATTTCAGGGTGCGTGTGCGGACTGCAGCTGACCTTCTCACCTCCAAATGTCAGCCGGCTGCCCTGAGGCTCCTGATTTCACACAGCAGGTGCAGCAGGGTCGACTCTAACTCATGGCGCCCCAACGTGTGTCAGAATAGAACTGCGCTCCATTGGGATTTTCGGAAGCAGGTTGCCAGGCCTTTCTTCCGAGGTGCCTCTGGGTGAACTCCAACCTCCAACCTTTCAGTTCGCAGCCGAGCGCATTAACCATTTACTCTACCCAGGGACTCTTTTCACTAAGATTGGCTAGTATTAACACCCGTTTCTGTCCAGTCAGTTCCAACTTACGGTGACCCCATGTGTCAGAATAGAACCGAGCTCCATGGGGTTTCCAGTGGTTGATTTTTCAGAAGTAAAATGCCAGGCCTTTCTTCCAAGGCACCTCTGGCAGACTCAAACCTCCAACATTTTGGTTAGCAGCCAAGCGAGTTCAATGTTTGCACCACCCAGGGACTCCTGACCTTATAAGTAGCTCTTAATCTCCAAGCTAGAAGCAGAGGGTGGCTATGCCTCGGTTTAAGATATCCGCTATCTTTGTGATCAAGGGAAATCCCAGAATTTTAGCTACAAGGTCCTGATTGTACCAAACCGCATTCCCTACAATGGTTTATTACCTTTAAAACAGAGCTCAGGTTCTGATCAGGGCCAAAATTCATGGACCTTGATTAAAAAAACAAACAAACAAACCCATAGCCGTCGAGTCGATTCCGACTCATAGCGACCCTGTAGGACAGAATAGAACTGCCCCATAGGGTTTCCGAGCAGCAGCTGGTGGATTCGAACTGCTGACTTTTTGGTTAGCAGTCAAGCTCTTAACCACTGCACCACCGGGGCTCCTGGACCCTGATAGAATGGGAGAAAAATGTGGAATGGAACTCAAATTCTTAAAAAAAACACACAGAGCTCCTGGACCGGTTGAGACTGGAGGACTGCCCGAGACTATTACCCTGAGAGACTCTACCAACCTTGAACCAAAACTAGCCCCTGAGGTCACCGTGTAGCTAAATAACAGGTTGGCTCACAAAATAAAGTATATCACTCATGAGTACTGTGCTCCTTTCAAAATCACCTGTAGGAGATCGAACTGAGCCCTGGTGGTACAGTGGTTAAGTATTACATCTGCTGACCAAAAGGTCAGTGGTTCAAATCCACCAGCCACTCCTTGGAAACCCTATGGGGCAGTTCTACTCCGTCCTATAGGGTCGCTATGGTTGGAATCAACTGGACGGCAACAGGATTTTTTTATGAGGCCAAATGGTCAAGAATTACTTTAAAACAAAGATGAGAATGTAAGGGGGCAGGGAAACTAGATGAATGGAAACAGGACAACCAGAAGGGAAATAATGAGAAGGTTCAGACATTGTGAAGAAGGTAACCAATGTCTCTGAACAATTTGTGCAGAAAATGTTCAACATGAACCTAAACTGCTGTGTAAACCTTCACCGAAAACACAGTAAAATATTATTAAAAAAAAAAATGAAAAGGAATTTAGAACTTACCCTGTGAGTAAACCAGCCAGTGTAACGTCACCTCCTCCAGGAAGCGCCCACGGCTGCTCACACAACAGGTAGACTTGTCCTCTGCCTTTTGGCCCCCGTTGCACTTCATGCCTGCATTTAGGGGCTTTCGTGATCTCTCTCCCGTAACGGAGCTTAAGTACTAGCAGGCAGGTTCTGTGTCTTTTATTCCCTGCCCCACCCCGCAAGCACCCCACAGTGAATCTGACATCTGTTTTTGTTGGTTACTGTCGAGTCGGTTCTGACTCATAGCGACCCTATGAGCAGCAGAACGAAACACTGTCCAGTCCTGCGCCATCCTCACAATCGTTGCTACATTTGAGCCCATTGTTGCAGCCACTGTGTCAGTCCATCTCATGGAGAATTTCCCTTGTTTTTGCTGACCCTGTGCTTTACCAGCTGTCTTAGTTATCCAGTGCTGCTTTAACAGAAATACCACAAGTGCACGGCTTTCACAAGGAGAAGCTTATTTCCTCACAGTTAAAGTAGGCTAAAAGTCCAAATTCAGGGCGTCAGCTCCAGCGGAAGCCTTTTTCTCTCCGTCGGCCTTCTTTGCTCCGGTGCTCCCCCGGACTAGGAGCTTCTCTGCGCAGGGACCCCCGTCCAAAGGATGCTCTCTGCTCCCAGCACTGCTTTCTTGGTGGTATGAGGTCCCCAACTCTCTGCTTGCTTCCCTTTCCTTTTATCTCTTGAGAGATAAAAGGTGGTGCAGGCCGCACCCCAGGGAAACTCCCTTTACATTGGATCAGGGATGTGACCTGGGTAAGGGTGGTGTTACAATCCCACCCTAATCCTCTTTAACATAAAATTACAATCACAAAATGGAGGCCAACCACACAATTCTGGAAATCATGGCCCAGCCAAATTGATACACACATTTTTTGGGGGACATAATTCAATCCATGACACCAATATAATGTCTTTTTCTAGTGATTGGTCTTTCCTGATGAAGTATCCAAAGTCAGTGAGCCAAAGTCTCTCCATCCTCACTTCTAAGGGACAATATGGTTGTATTTCTTCTAAGACTGATTTGTTCGTTCTTCTTGCAGTCCACGGTATCTTCCATGGTCTCTGCCAACACCACTGTTCTTGTCTGGCTTGCTGTTGCTGTTGAGTTGACTTTGACTTCTGACGACCCCATGTGTGCAGAGTGGAACTGTTCCACAGGGTTTTTGTGGCTGTGACCTTTTGGAAGCAGATTGCCAGGCCTTTCTTCTGAGGCACCTCTGGGTGGACAGAAAGCCCCAACCTTTTGGAGAGCAGCCAAATGCCTTATCCATTTGTACCCCCAGGGACTCTGGCTGGCGCACAGTGGTAATTAATAAATGCTGACAGAATGAATTGATTTGTATGTTCTCCGAAGCATATCCGTGTTTGCTCAGTAGCTACAGGTGGCTGAGATTCTCTGTAAGAGATTGCCTTCCTTCTCTGTAAGAGTCAGCTCTGCAATCTTTCTGTAAATGTGTCTTTGGTGAGGTAAGGCCATACTGTAGGGTGTCTTGTGGTCTGAGGCCCAGGGAAGGAGGCTGGGGAGACCCTGAGTTGGGAGACTTTGTACCTCCAGATCAGCTTGCTGTGGGGCTAAGCTTTGCGCTGAGGTCTCAACCAGTAAACGGGGTCAAGGCAAGTCAGCGTGGCCTTCCTGTTGCAATGTGACTCATGACCTCTGTGTTTCCAACAGGTCAGAGAGACTTTGATTTGGCCGATGCTCTCGATGACGCCGGTAAGTGACAGTCCCGGGAAGAGGAGGCTTGGTTTGCAGCTTTGTGTCTAATGGAACACCCACCCGCTCATGGTTGCTTTGGGGTTAGGTCGTGCCAAAAAAAAAAAAACCCAAAAAAACCCATTGATTTGACTCTGACTCATGGCGACCCCATGTGTGTCAGAGTAGAACTGAGCTCCACAGGGTTTCCTTGGCTGTAATCTTTACAGAAGCAGATTTCCAGGCCTTTCTTCCGCAGCACCTCTGGCCTCCAACCTCCAACCTTTCGGTTATCGGCTGAGCACGCTGAACATTCTCACCACCCGGGACTCCAGAGTCACACTTATGGATGCATATATGGCATTAGACACTCCTGCAAGAAAGCAACCACTTTCTCAAAAAAACAAAAAGAAAAAGAAAAGGATCTGTGAAACAGAGCTTATTTCACAACAATCAACAAACGAAAAAACCAAACCCGTTGCCGTCGAGTCGATACCAACTCCTCGCGACCCTAGAGGACAGAGTAGAACTGCCCCACAGGGTTTCCAAGGAGCAGCTGGTGGATTCCAACTGCCGACCTTTTGGTTAGCAGCCGAGCTCTTAACCACTGCGCCACCAGGGCTCCAAAAGCTTCCTAAAATATCTAACATGCTCATCAACATTTTCTAGTATCTAGATACACCCAAACACGCGCACAAACATATATATACATACACACACATATATATACACATACGTTTGTTGTTGTTGTTGATTGCCTTCAAGTCGACCCTGACTCATGGCGACCCCATGTGTGTCAGAATAGAACTGAGCTCCATAGGGTTTTCTTGGCTGTAATCTTTACAGAAGCAGATAGCCAGGCCTTTCTTCTGCAGCATCTCTGGGTGGGTTAGAACCACCGACCTTTTTAGATTAGTCATTGAGAGCATACTGTTTGCATCACCCAGGGGCCTTAGGTCGGCCAGGCGTTCGGAATTCCTTGGGATCACCATCTCCAACCTTCACACACAAGATCGCAGGCACTTTAAGACCTTCCTCTACACGACGGATGTCTAAAAGCCTCTTTGTCAAGGTCCCCTTCAGGCATGGGTCAGACTCGTTTCTTGGAAGGTTTGTGCTGCCAAGCCTGTGAAGGGTTGTTGTGGTTGTTGACTGGGGTCAAGTCAGCCCCGAACCATGGCAACCCCGTACACGACAGGACAGAACACTGCCCGGTCCTGAGCCATCCCCGTGATCGGTTGCAGAATGGACTGTTGTGCTCCACAGAGTTTTCACTGGCTGATTTTCAGAAGCGGATCACCAGGACTTTCTTCCTGGTCTGTCTTAGTCCGGAAGCTCCACTGAAACATGTTCAGCATCATAGCAGTATGCAAGCCTCCACGGACAGATGGGTGATGGCTCCACATGAAGTGCATAGGTGGGGAATCGAACCCGGGTCTCCCACATGGAAGGCGAGGATTCTACCACTGAACCACCAATGTTCTCTTCAAATCTTGGCTCAACTACAGAGTCTTGGGCAAAAGATTTTTCTATCTGTAGTCTCCTTGCCTGTAAAATAGCAATAACAACAACAATAATAATAATACCTGCTTCATAGCGTTGTTTTCAGGGTTAAATAAGATAGTGCATGTCAAGCACATAATTTGATACTTGGCACATGTAAGTGCTCGATGGACATTAGCTTGCATCGTTATTGTTTGAGATACCCATGACTTCTCCTTCCATGTAAAACAGGAGAGTAGATTGTATTACCCAACCACTTGCCCTCGAGTCAGCTCTGACTCGTGGAGACCCTATGTGTGTCAGAGTAGAACTCTGCTCCATAGGGTTTCCATTGGCTGATTTTTCTGAAGTAGACCTCCAGGACTTTCTTCTTAGTCCGTCTTAGTCTGGAAGCTCCGCTGAAACCTGTTCAGCATCACAGCAACATGCAAGCCTCTGCTGACAGATGGGTGGTGGCTGCGTATGAGGTGCATTGGCCAGGAATCGAACCTGGGTCCCCCGCGTGGAAGGCAAGAATTCTTCCACTCAACCATCACTGCCCTTCAGGACAGACTAGAGGGCTCCAATTTTAAGGGCTGAGCCCTAATAGTGGGCACTTCCTTTTTTTTTTTTTTTTTTTTTTCTGGATACAAAGTGGAATTTGTGTTCCATTCATTTAATAGTTTGTGTGTTCATAGATTTTATTTTTCATTCCGGGGGTAGTTGCTATTTCTTTGGACTGCTGATCCATCCTCAATGCTCACTGCATGTATTTTCTCTGTTTGCAGAACCCACCAGGAAGCCAAGCTCAGGTAAGTGACTGCTTAGCTGGGCTGCGTCCAGCGGAGACAACGCTCTAGAATGGATGGTGTCAGAGGGCAGGAAGAGTACGTTTCACAGGTGGTGGGCTACATAAGAGAGGGGCAGTCATGAACAGTGAGCTGGTGTTAAACGCACACCCATCCTAGGAATCAGAGTGATACCACTCCATCCTCACTAGGGGGCTACGATCGGAAAAACAGACAATAACAAGTGTTGACGAGGACGTGGGGCAATCAGAAGCCTCATGAGCTGCTGGTGGGAATGCAAAATGGTAGAGTCGCTGTGGAAAACCAGCTGGCAATTCCTCAAAAAGTTAAACATACGATGGAATATTATTCAGCCGTAAAAGAGAAACAACCCAAGTGCCCATCAGCAGATGAATGGGTGAGCAAGATGTGGTCCATCCATGCAATGGAGCATTACTCAGCCATAAAAAAGAAACTACCGAAGTGTCCATCAGCAGATGAATGGGTGAGCAAGATGTGGTCCATCCATACAGTGGATCATTACTCGATCGTGTTGTTGTGTGCCGTCCAGTTGATTCTGACTCGTAGCGACCCCATGTGACAAGGTAGAACTGCTCCACAGTTTTTCCAAGGCTATAGTCTTGTGCCCGCTTCTGCAGCACAAATACTAACATTGGAACAATACAGAGTAGATTAGCATGGCCCCTGTGCAAGGATGATACACAAATTCATGAAGCGTTCCAAGGCTGTAATCTTTACGGGAGCAGATCACCAGGTCTTTTCTCCTGCGGCGCCGTTGGTGAGTTTGAGCCACTGACCTTTCAGTTAGCAGCCAAGTGCTTAACCACTATGCCACCAGGGCTCTTAGAATTACCATATGGCCCAGCAATTCTGCTCCTAGTATATACCCAGAAGACCTGAAAGCAGAGACTCAAACAGCTATTCATACACCAAGGTTCACAGCAGCACTATTCACAATAGCCAAGAGGCAGAAATAACCCAACTGTCCGTCAACATGGGTAAACAAAATATGTAGGAAAAGGGGGAGAGTGCTGACATACTAAGGGCATTGCAGCCCATGTCACAAAACAATCTGTGTATACATTTTTGAATGAAAAACTCATTTGTGCTGTAAACTTTCACCTAAAACACAATAAAACTAGGAAAAAAAAATAACAACAATAACAAAAAACACAATGTGGTCCATCCATACAATGGACTATTACTCAGCCACAAAAAAGAAACTACCCAAGCGCCCGTCAACAGATGAATGGGTGAGCAAGATGTGGTCCATCCATACGATGGA